TGAGCAGGAATTACAGCCAAAAGGCTAAAACCACAGTAATATATTAATATGCGTTACATTCCCCAAACATTCAGCTTTCATATGCATCTTTTGTATTCATTCTATGTATTATAGTTTTTGAGTAAATCAACGAAATGTAAAAACACTCCTTTTACGAGCATTTTTTAAACTTTGAACGCGAATTACAGCCAAACGGCTTAAACCACAGTAATATATTAATATACGTTACATTCCCCAAACATTCAGCTTTCATATGCATCTATTGGATTCATTCTATGTATTATAGTTTTCGAGTAAATCAATGAAATGTAAAAACACTGCTTTTTCGAGCATTTTTTAAATTTTGAGCAGGAATTACAGCCAAACGGCTAAAACCGCAGGAATATATCGATACTTGCTGGATTCCCCAAACATCCAGCTTTCATATGCATCTTTTGGATTCATTATATCTAGTATAGTTTTCGAGTAAATCAATGAAATGTAAAAACACTGCTTTTTCGAACGTTATTTTTTCATTTGTTCAACTTTGAACACGAATTACAGCCAATCGATAATTGCTAGATTCCCCAAACATTCAGCTTTCATATGCATCTTTTGGATTCATTATTTGTATTATAGTTTTTAAGTAAATCAATGAAATGTAAAAACACTGCTTTTTCGAGCATTTTTTAAAATTTGACCGCGAATTACAGCCATACGGATAAAAGCACATTAATATATGAATACTTGCTAGATTTCCCAAACATTCAGCTTTCATATGCATCTTTTGGGTTCATTCTATCTGTTATAGTTTTCGAGTAAATCAATGAAATGTGAAAACACTATTGAAAATACTATTGTGAAATCTCGTTTAACTTCCCTATAAAACTGGTAAGATAGAATTAAGATAGGTTTATTATGAGAATGTAGACTCAACAGAAAGTTGCGCGTTTATCATTTATAGCTTTGTCTATTTTTTTTCCCTCGTTCTTCTTCTTCTTCTGCTTCATCCATTCCACTCTTCCATAAGAGCAGTTTTCATTAATGCAAAGTAGGTCATTTCAGCGCGAGGAACGCTCCCCCGTGTCCGGCTCTCTCCTTCTCCATCTAACACACTCTAACAAACAGACACGCACATATATATATATATACATATATTACACATACATACGTAATCCCACATTCAGAAAGTCTGAAAAGGGAACGTCGGTTGTGGATAGAGACAGAAATGGCATCCAGATAGTAGCGGAGCGACCGTTCGTCCATTAGCCAAATGAAAAACCGCTAAAGTGAATGTAAACAGTTTCCAATCCAACAGAAGAGAGAAAGACAGAGAGAGAGGAGGAGACCGGAACCGGAACAATCCGGATTAAAATGTTTCGCGATTGCAAATGAATTGGACGACCGAGCGGAACGAAAAAAAAGGGAGAGAAAGAATGGAAGTAAAGAAAGAAAGAAATAAATAAGGGAAATAACAGCCGAAGGAAATATCTCTTTATTAGCTGAATTTACAGTCGAGTTCCGGAGGCCCGGCAAATGGTAATTATAATTTAATTGAGTTCTTTTCTCGTTTCTTTCTTTCTTTCATTCCATAAGTTGCTGCTGCTGCTGCTGCTGCTGTGTGTGTTCATTTTATTATATTTTTGTTGTTGTTGTTTGTTACTCTCTCTCTCTCTCCTTGTTGTTGTGTTTGTTTCGCCCTTTTCTTCGGCCGCTTCATTTCCACTCCTTCGAGCCGTTTAACACGGAAGCACGAGACGTAAATAAGTAAGCTTCCTACATAATTGCGACCATTACACAGTGTACACCATCGTTCTGTATTTATAAGTACTTTTTTTCTTTCGAATTTATGCGAGGCTCTGCATTTTATATGGTAATACACAGCAACAGCAGCGGTTTTTTATTACATATATATTTTTCTCTTCACTCCGTCGCGAGCATTTTAATTACTCTCGCTGCACACAATGTTCAATTTTGCGTGCGTTACATGCATTAATAAGGCGTATCGTTTCATAGAATTTTAAATTATCTGTTGCAGATGGAAACTTCACGGCAACAACTTTGAGTTTGAACAAATGGTAAACAAAATAGTTGTTTTGTTTACATTCACGTTCTGAAAGGTGACATTTCAATGGTCTTTAGAAAAAAAGACAACCTTGAAGATGGGAGAAGACAAAGTGCACTTTAGATTTCAATACTTTTCTTCAAGACTAAAAAAATCGCCGGGCTATGACCTCATCGCAACGGAGGTCTTCAGGTAACTATCATCTATTAGCCTCTTGTTGATCATCTTTAAACTTTTAGAGAAACTGCTGATACAAAGACTGAGGCCTTGACTACTGAAAAATTATGTAATAACTAAAAACCAGTTTGATTCCAGAGAACGACATGGTATCGTGGAGCAGATGCATTGCGTGATCGACGTGATAAGCAGATGCCTCGAGGAGAAGACGTACTGTTCGGCTGTTATCCTTGATATCTCACAGTTGGCACAAGGGGTTGCTCTACAAGATCAAAAGGCATCTTCCACGTCCGTACTTCTGCATTTGCCAATCATACCTGACTGGTAGGTACTTTAATATCATGTACAATGATGAGGTGACCTCTGTAATGTCCGTAGTTCCTCAAGGACGCGTGGTTGGACCACTCTTATACCTGATCTTCACAGTAGACCTGCCAACTCTAGCATAGACATCATCCAGAGATTCCATTCAAAGACGTTGAGGCAATTGACCAGTTCTCTCTGATTAATCACCAATGACTCTATCCATCAGTCCAATGTTATTGTCTACAAGGTAGAGTCATACAATCAATCTGGATCTACGGTATTCAACTGTGTGTGCAACTCTAGCATAGACATCATCGAAAGATTCCAGTCAAAGACGTTGAGGCAATTGAACAGTTCTCTCTGATTCATCACCAATGACTCTATCCACCAGTCCAATGGTATTGACTTTGTTAAAGAAGATATTTCAAAAGCCAGCAAAAGATATAGTCTTCATCTGGAGGATCATCCAAATCAACTTGCTGTAGAGCTGACCAACGCAGATGGCAAGTACTTTGTCTTTTACTTGTTTATATTTTATCAGTGTTGTTTGGTCATTGAATCAATCTGCAGTATTATTTATTTCACTTATATTCAAGCTTCTAATTATTATTTTTCTTTGTATAATAGTAGATTGCTTCTTGAGCCAAAAACGCTGCTTTAGTTAAGAAAAATTCTGCTTACAGAGAAGTTGATTTAACAACGTAATTCGTTAAGTTTAGAGCTAGTGATTTCAGACTTAACAGTGCTAGTAATTTCACAAAAATTGTTGGAAGTAGACAGAATAGTAGTTTTCATTCACATTTGGAAAGGTTTCTTTGATGAAAAAGCTTAACATTTTGTGAATGTTTAAGTTGCACGAGAGATATATAAAATAATAATTTCCTTCCATCATTAAAAATATTTACAAAACATAGATGTATTAATTAATTTTTTTTTTCATTTTTTACAGGTGAAATTTAAACGAAGAACTTCGATACCAATGAAATGTTAAAAGGTAAATAACACTTTTCTTAATTTTGTTGAATATTCGCTGCAAAATAATCCTACTTTCTTCGTTTTATCGATAGTAAAGTAAATTTTTTCAGTGTAGATGATTTTCATCGTAACGATTTTGAATTCACTTTTCCTATTTCCATTCAAGTTGAAATTCCTTTTAAACTATTATTTCCTATTCTGGCGGTTTAATATTCAATGGTTTATGGATGAGAATGAATATCTCTTTTTGTAGATTATTCTTTATTTCTTTCTCTCTCTCATATTTTCGTTATTTGAATGAGTTGGAATGAGCTTTTTTTTTCTATCGTAGTGAATTTTTAGTGAAATTATATAATTGAAGAAGGCACCGTGATTTTAGAAAAACTATAATAGTTTACAATTATAAAAATTATAGTTAAACGTTTCAGATTTTATAAAAAATGTTGATATTATCACAGAAAAATATTATTGTGATTTTGAAGAATCATTGTAAAATGTTGTGCACGTGGGGTCTAACAAAAGTTCGTTTAGTTGGCGTTAATGCATTTGTTTCTGAAAAAAAAAACAAAAGTTGTTTCTCAATTTGCTAAAATTTACCAATATTTTATGCCAAATTTCAAGAAGATCGGTAAGAATTGATAGGAGAAAATGTAAGATTAGTGATGTAATGTTGGTAGAAATTCCACCATCAACACTGCAAAAAAATTTCCTTCCATCATTCAAAATATTTACAAAACATAGATGTATTACTTATTTTTGTTTTCATCTTTTACAGGTGAAATTTGAACGAAGAACTTCGATGCGAATGAAATGTTAAAAGGTAAATAACACTTTTCTTAATTTTGTTGAATGTTCGCTGCAAAAGAATCCTACTTTCTTCGTTTTATCGATAGTAAAGTAATTTTTTTCAGTGTAGATGATTTTCATCGTAACGATTTTGAATTCACTTTTTCTATTTACATTCAAGTTGAAATTCCTTTTAAACTATTATTTCCTATTCTGGTGGTTTAATATTCAATGGTTTATGGATGAGAATGAATATCTCTTTGTTGATTATTCTTTATTTCTTTCTCTCATATTTTCGTTATTTGAATGGTTGGAATGAGCTTTTTTTTACTATCGTATGTGTAAATTTGAATGAATAATTGAGTGTGATGGACGTGCGAAAACGTAATTCTTTTAAAAAAAAATGCGGAACGGTCTGAAAAATTTAGAGCGGAGTATCAAGTTTTCATGAGAAACACAAACGTACATGCCGTGACCTAGATGCTGCCGTTTGGGGTTGAGGGGGGGATGGTTTGGCGGTGGTGGCCGCATTCGAGGGTTCGTGACTCTCATTTCCTATGTATTTCATCTGCTCTTGCTGCGGAAAGCGCGAGCCGTGCTCAGGAAAAGGACAGCACACAATATCGAGTGTGTAGAAGAGAGAGAGCTAAGAATAAATTGCCGTTTCGCAGCGGGAGATTTATAAATTCATTACAATACACTCACCAGCAAGAAAAAAGAAAATATTTCTTATTCTCATATATTATTTTCAGTATCCGTTGAAGGTCGAATCTTCTGGTTATTAAGAAAACACACCCCAATTCATGTAAATGCATATAAAACGTTTCGCGTGTACAATTTTTCTTTTCGTTTTAAAAAAAAAACGTTGAAGTTCTGACCTCGATAATTCGCATCAGATTTACATATAAAAGTGTCTCTCTCGCTGTCTTCTTTAAATGTCTCTGCATTTCTATATAAAAAATGTGCATATGGAATTATTTAAATTGCGTGGAATTCACTTTCGGGAATCTCTTTCTCTCGCTTTTCGTATAAACTCCCAATTATTCGTGGACCATTTCGTGAGATCATTTCCCTCGAATAATATCGCGCGGGACCCATAAAACAGGATAACCGTTTTCTCCATTTAAATATGATATGTGTTTTCGTTTGTTATTATTTTTTGTTTTTTTGTTTCTCTTTGGGAGGGAAGATGAAAACGTAAAGATTGTACGAAAAAGTTTGATTATAATCAAAGATTTTTGTTTGAATTAACACAAAATGGGTACATAATTTCAATCATTATTTAGTTTTTACCAAAATTAATTTTAAAAATTGTAAAATTAAATGTTTGAATTGACAATTATGTTAAGTAATGTTAATTTTTTTGGTAATAGTAGAGATTGAGTAAAAAATTGGATGTAGAAAATGAAATGGTGGATGCGCCGGGTTTGTCCACTTTCACTTTCAATCTTGATTTGTACTTTCCAAAATTGCAATTACATTTTAAAAACGTTTAGTTTAAATGAAAATTTTTAGTGAAATTATATAATTGAAGAAGGCGTGGGTTTTAGACTAAATAAATCGACTAGATGAAAAACTATAATAGTTTACAATTATAAAAATTATAGTTAAACGTTTCAGATTTTGTGAAAAATGTTGGTATTATCACAGAAAAATATTATTGTGATTTTGAAGAATCATTGTAAAATGTTGTGCACGTGGGGTCTAACAAAAGTTCGTTTAGTTGGCGTTAATGCATTTGTTTCTGAAAAAAACAAAAGTTGTTTCTCAATTTGTTAAAGTTTAACGATATTTCATGTTAAATTTCAAGAAGATCGGTAAGAATGGATAGGAGAAAATGCAAGATTAGTGATGTAATGTTGGTAGAAATTCCACCATCAACACTGCAAAAAATTGTTTCCTCATTCTCTACGGATTTCGACGTTAATTCAAGCCTATGTAAATATTCCAGGAATGCCAAAAAGCATATGGAGTGAATGCATCATCCCTTATGATTATTTATAAGTGGTTTCGAAGATTCCAAACAGGGCATTTTTTCTGTTGAGGACGAATCTCGTGATGGTCGCCCAAAATTTTCCATCGACGACACAAATGTAGCCTTGGTGAAGACAAAAATTGACGAAGATCCTAGAATGATACAGGAAATGGTAGATGATGAACTAGGCTTGAATGCTATGGCTGTGTCGAGAATGTTAAGTCATCACTTGGGCTACACGAAGAAATCTGCACGATGGGTTCCACGAATTTTAAATGACGACCGAAAAAAGGCGCGTGTTCGTTTTGTTCAATATTTCTTAGAAGAATTTGAAAATGGAGAGTTTTAGCAGCTTTAGGAAATTAGTAACAGGTGATGAATCTTGGTTCTATAAGAACGATCGGGAAACCAAACAGTAGTCCATGATATAGAGCGCAGAAGGTGCAAATCAAGAACACAAAAATCAGCAAGAAAAGTGATGATGTCGATTTACTTTACCAGGGCAAAAGTGGTAGCTGTTATCCCACTGGAAACTGGTCAAAAGGTAACTAACTGATAAGTGGTATACAGAAACTTGCGTATCACAAGTTTTCAAAAAATTGTTGGGAAACCAGAAAAAAGGGGAAATTTCTTACGCTTTCTGGTATCAATGAAATTCGCCCAGCACCTTACTCTCCGGATCTAACGCCGTGTGATTTCTAGCTGTTTCTGAAAATAAAAAAAAAAATGAGAGAAAGAGTCTTCAGTTCGAATGAGGAGATCATTAAAGCAGTTAATGTCGAACTTGAAAAGCTCCAAAGAAGCCGATTTTGAGGAATGTTTTGAAAGGTGTCTCTACCGACTTAAGAAATGTATAAATGGAAATTATGTTGAGAAGTTACAAAAGGATGAAAATTATGAAACGGTGTTTTTCAGTAAATATTGAATGAATATAGAACCGCTGTTTACGGTAATATGTATACATTTACCATATAAAACAGATGGATTATTGGATAGCCCGGACATAAATATGCAGCGTTTAAGCAATGTAACAACTTCTGTGGAAGCTATTAGACTGCGAGTTTACGATGCAGAACGTGTACGTAAAACGAATGGGAAATGGAAATGAATAAACAAGGAAATCCGGTTTTATTGGTGGCGGGAGCTTCGTTTTGGGGGGAGGCAAGCAGCTGCGTTCATATTTTATAAATCTCCGTTTTGACCCTTCAGTTGTTGCGGAGGACGTGCGAAGAAGACCGAATCGGTACACAGAGAGAGTTTTGTATGCACACACAGAGAGAGAGGGACAAAACTCTAATTTCTGTGCACATGTCGTGGATGGACGGACACGGACGGGCAGAAACATTTGATGGAATTTAATTTCCCCGGAGCCGTCCTGGATTGTCCAATTTCGGCCGCACCTCTCGTCCTCGCTAATCGCAACTGCAAACTACACGTGTAAGCAATTAAGCCTCGGTCAATAATAAATACGCAAACAGTGGGAATAATGAGAATAGAGAGGGGAAGGGATTGAGATAGATAAGCGGCGACGGATGGAAGTTTATCCGTGAATGGAGAAGAAGGATGGAAAAAAAATGATACAAGACAAGGGCGTGTAGAACACACACACACAGAGAAAAATATGAGGGAAGAAAATCAACCGTTCACCCTCGGCTATTTGCTTTGTATTAACTGAAAAGAATTGAGCGGGAATGAACTTCGGGGTGGAGAGGTGAAGCGAAGAATATACGCGCCGCGACGCTACAAAGGGTTCACA